CCAGTAATGACTCCACACCCGGCCAGGACCAAGAGATTTATTAAAAGGGGCTGTTACAGAGGGGATCTGTAACGGGAAAAAAGAAAAAGAGAGAAAGAGAGAGTAAGAGAGAGGGAGGAAATGGGAGAGAGGCGGGGAGAGAGCTGCAGAGAGGGAGAGAGCGGCAGAGAGGGAAAGAAAGAGAGACCGAGAGAGAGTTGCGGGGGGAGCGCTGTATTTATCAGCCTGACAGCGGCTGGAAGGGGCCGTGTTATGCTCCTATTGGAGGAGCTGCATGGGAGTAGGGTGGGGCCAATGCCATGTTATGGTCCTATTGGACGCATAACAGAGCTGGCTATGGATTGGAGGCTTGCAGGTTTGAAATTCGTGCGCGGGAAGGTTTGAAATCCGCGCGTGCGCACATGCGCGCGCGGGGAATTATACTCACCGAAGTCGAGACCTAGGGCCTTTGTTGTCTGGTATGTCGGCGCCATTTTGGGAGCCGCCCCTCTGGTGGCTTCCTGCACCCTTCATTGGGAGGCTAAGGTGAGTGGATTGCCTGAGCCCGTGGGTTTGAGACCCACCTGGGCAACTTGGCGAGACCTCATTCTACAATAAATCAAAAAATTAGCCGGGCGTGGTAGCGCGCGCCTGTAGTTCCAGCTGCTTGGAAGGCTGAGGCGGAAGGATCACTGGAGCCCAGCAGGTCGAGGCTGCGGTGGCCGAGAGCGGCCACTGCACTCCAGTCTGGGTGGCAGAGTGAGACTCCAACACACACACACACAAAGAAAATGCCAGGGGGTAAGAGGGAGAAGGATACCTGGAGGACTGTGTGTGTGGCTGGAGCACAGAGAACTGGAGGGAGGACAAGAGGTGGGTGGAGGCAGCGTTGCAAAAGCCCTTGACCGCTGCACTAGAGATCTTGAGCCTCTTCCCGTAGACCAGAGACTTTTTAACACAAGCTCCGTAGGCCTTCGTGGATTGGGATGTGGTTTGTTCCAAACATGGAAATCTCAGTGATGGTGCCACAGATGTCGGCCTCCAACAGTGGGGGAGCTTCCAACAGTGGCGTGCTGGGGCTGGCTCCCATAGGATCAGGGTGCCTTTCTTCCCAACTCTGTATTTAGTGATCCCACCTTGCCAGCTTAAAGTCAGCCACAGTGGGGGATATTCACATCCTCCCCTCCAAACCCCCAGCCAGTTGTTAACCCTTGATCGGCACTGCTGCTTCTATTCCAACCCGAAGGGGAGCCTGGCTGTTGAGCACCCACTAGTCCACCCATGAGAGTCTAGTGCTGTGATCTCTGCAAATCAGGAAGTGATCAAGACTGGTTATTCTCAGTTGCCCTTAAGCATCTGGAGGCTGGGTAGCAGAAGTTTTAAAACCACACGCTTTGAGGACAGACAGACTGAGGTCCAAATTGCAGTGCCATCACTATAATTAGCTGTGTGACTTAAGGCAAACAAAGCCCTCTCAGAGTTTCAACTGTTAAAAGGGGACATGATTTTCTAACTCATGGGTTGTGAAGATTAAACACTATTCTATAGGTAAACTGCAGTGCCACTGTGTAACAAGGACTCAATAAATATTACTGCTACTGGCTGTTTTCGCTAAAAAGATATCAATAGAGATATGGTCATTTTATTCCAAAATGGATTTATTATCAGTATTTGAAATACCTGAAACTTAAGCAGTATACTGAGGGCCTAGGTGGAGATAGCTACCTGACATTTTTTTACTAATTTTTCACCAAAAAAGTGATCTACAGATGACTTTTTTTTTTTTTTTAAGATTTTTGAGATCTCCAACTTGACCGAGCTTGTGGTCACATCATGTCTTTCAAGGACCAAGGCATCCGGACACACATTTTCCTAACTTGAAATTAGGTGGGAGAGGGGTGAACAGGGGAGAACAAATGTGGCAGATTTTGTTAAAAAGAGCAGGTACCAGCTGGGCTCGGTGGCTCAGCCTGTAATCCCGCGCCTTTGGGAGACTGAGGTGAGTGGATGGCCTGAGTTCACGGGTTCGAGACCCGCCTGGGCAGGTGAGATCTCATCTCTACAATAAATCAAAAAATTAGCCGGGCGTAGTAGCGTGCACCTGTAATTCCGGCTACTCGGAAGGCTGAGGCGGAAGCATCGCCGGAGCCCAGCAGGTTGAGGCTGCGGTGGCCAGGAGCGGCCACTGCACTCCAGTCTGGGCGACAGAGTGAGACTCCAACTCAAAAAAAAAAAAAAAAAAGAGCAGGTACCTGGTTCAGCCTCATAGCACACAAACTGATGGGTGGGGCAGTTGGCAAGTGAAAACACCTCCATCCCCACTATGGAATGCTCCAGGCTCAGTGGGGTTTCAGGTGTGAAAAAGCTGCAGTCGCCTGATGAAGTTAAAGTTGACATTTCCCAGGAGACTCCAAGGTACCAAAGCTGCTTCCCACTGGAGCCTCTGTCATTTGGCCTGCTGTCGGTGACCAGCACTGACCAAGGGTGGGTTAGGACCCGCACCAGAGAATCTGGACAGCGAGAAGACCACTCGGAGGCAGATCTTCTGGGAACAGTCTGATCAGGACTGGAGCCGATTTTATTCAAACATTTTCCAACTTATATACCATTTTCTATACCCTCCAGCAATGTGATAATCACTCACTGGGGGCGTACAAGTTTCGTGCTTTACAAACTATGCATCACAAGACCACCACGAGATCGCAATTTCCAAGCAAACAATTCAAATTCCATGATGCCTGCCGTGCTTACATTAAGGTCACAGGTGCACAATTTCAATACAAATCGTTCAAAGTGTTTTCCATAATGTTCAATGAATCATTCATATTATACTCTTTGCTCTATACCCTGATTAATACAAAAAACTTTCCTGAGTTAACTCTAGGTTCAATCCAAGTTCACTGATTCCCAATATTTTTAACAATTAATATTATCAACTTAACACTATACTATAATCTATAAGTTTAGTTAAATGACTTAACTGTCAGTTATACTATTAACCTATTATGATTTAACGTAATGCCTTATAACTCAGTTAAAACTTATTCTTAACTACCAAACTTTACTATAATTCATATGTTTCATATATCTAAACTTTAATTTTTATATGATCTAGTTATTGGACTTTAATACTATGCTATATCCTATTAAGCTAATACCTTATCGTTAATTCTTTTATAAATCGTATAGTAACTATTACACTTGAATAATGTAGCAAAAGGAAACAAAACAGCAAGCATAGATTTACGCAGCTATGAGTGTATATGTATATATTTTATCCTAACAATTCTACTCTAAAAATCAAATAGTAGCTGTCACACTCTTGAACAAGGAAATGCAGGTTTGCCAAGATGGCGGCCATGGGCTGAAGCAGACAGAGTTTCGGTAATTAACGAAACAAAAGAAAACGTTCTACCTGGCTAGGGGCAGGGCGACAAAACTATCATGGTAATTTAGTTTCTAATCTTAGCCCTAGGGGAAACAGCTTTCGGGAACAAGAGCGGACTACCCAGTCTACCAGGAAATAGAAGTTAAAAAATATCTAGAAAGAAGCAAAACTTAGAAAGACAGAGAAACAATTCCGCCATGCACCTTCCATCAAGTGTACTGAGATTCACTTATAAGTTTTACTGCCATGTATGCACACTGGTCACCAATCACACGCCAATATCATAGGTGTAACTGATATCCTATGTCAGAGGCGATCTTCCAGATGGGCCTTTACAGGCCTCAGCCATGTAGCTATAGATGTTGGCTCCCAACAGCCTGCCTTTGAGGTCAGCACACCACCCCTGATCATGGCTCTGTTAAGAAGTGCTGACTAGGCTGCGCGCCATGGCTCAAGCTTATAATCCTAGTGCTTTGGGAGGCCGAGGCAAGAGGATTGCCTGAGTCCAGGGGTTCAAGACCAGCCTGGGCAACTTGGTGAAATCTCATCTCTACAATACATATTTTTAAAAAATTAGGCCAAGCTTGGTGGCTCAGCCTGTAATCCCAGCACTTTGGGAGGCTGAGGCAAGTGGATTGCCTGAGCCGGCAGGTTTGACAATCCCAGGCAACTTGGCAAGACTTCGTCTCTACAGTAAAATAAAATAAAATAAAATAAAAAATTAGCTGGGCATGGTAACACACGCCTGTAGTTCCAGCTACTTGGAAGGCTGAGGTGGAAGGATCACCAGAGCCCAGCAGGTCAAGGCTGCGGTGGCAGTGAGCGTGCCACTGCACCCCAGCCTGGAGGAGGGAGTGAGACTCCAACTCAAAAAAAAAAAAAAAAAAAAAAATAGCCCAGTGTGGTGTCATCTATCTGTAATTCCAGCTACTTGGAAAGCTGAGGCAGAAGGATGACTTGAGTCCAGCAGGTCGAGGCTGCGATGGCTGTGAATGTACCACACTGCACTCTCCAGCTTGGGCGACAGAGTGAGACTCTGACTCAAATAAATAAATAAAAATAAGAAGTGCTGATTGAGCTGAGGTCATGATGCCAATCCCAAAACCATCCTGACGTTTCCCAGTGAACCCCTCCCCCACCTTCACCCCGTGGCCAAACTCAAGAAAATGCGTTTTCTCTCCCAAGAACTGGTGGAATCCCTGCTGATACCCGTTTCAAATCATTACTGAAAAACTCGGAGACTTAACAGGATCAGAAAAAAGAAACTGTAAAAAGAAAGTCCTCATCGCCCAGAGATTGCAAACCTCTCGAGGTCCATGCATATCCGTCGGCAACATCCTTCGAAGCGACTGCAGAAGATTCGCCTTGTGGCTTGTGCCTTAGTGGAAGCTACTACTCTTCTGATGAACACCACGGGCTTTGGCGGCAGAAAGACAGCTTTCCCTGGGACAAGCCCATTAAGCTAGGGAGCCTGTCACTCCCCGGGGGGACGGTGGGGAGTGTGCAGAGAGGAGCAACACTGACCCACCGGATTTTGCGGCGGGGGGGGGCCAAGTGGCAGCGTGTGGACGGCGCAGAGCCCAGCATCCGGCACAGAGAACGCGCTCGGAAACTGCCCGTGGGCCCTAAGGCTGTCGTCAAACTGGCCTTAAACAAAGCAGCTTCCCTCCCCTCCATGCACGGATCTACCGAAGTTTGCCAGGAATTGGGGAAAGCAAAGGGGAGCCCAGCGCTCCCTCCGCGGCG